TCTTACCTACTGCTAATGCACGGCAAAGTGCTTATGTTTGAGATACAAAAAATTATACCTGCCCTGAGAAGCACAAACCCCCTGGTGAAACATTTTCATTATACTAATGTGACGCAAAAGTAGCCATAACACTAACCGTTTCTTATTGGGACACCAAAACCTTCGATGTCAATGTTTTCAATTAGATTTTATGTGATAGACCATGATTCAGCCCCCTTTGCTGTAATCCCTCTAAATCAAAATTCATTGCTGAAAAGTCAGTAAATATTCAGTTGATCTGTGAAGAACTTGGTGAAATTTGAATAAATATAAGAACACAAACAGAATCATACAGACAAAGGCACACAACAGACATGTTGGGGTCAAATTCTGGAGAAGTTAAAAACTGATTTTAAAGCAAAATATCAAGCTTGTCCTCAGAAAAAAAGAGACACAGCAAACCTATAAAGAATCGTCCATCCATCAAAACAGACAGGCTGGAGAAGATGAGCAATAATCAGAGAAACACCTAAAGGGCTGGGCACCTACTTCTTATCTCAATCTGTCATTGTTTGATTGATCTGGGAAGTGAGAGCTCGCATCTTTTGAAGAAAATTGTTGTTGATGAAAATGGGAGAACAGTAAAATAACTCAATGTTGTAATGCTACCTACAGTATATATATAGCATCATCACACTGTAGGAAGGTGTATATTTAAAAGGGTATCTACGGCAGAAGGCAAAAAACTACTAGCCCTAGCAAACTAGCCCCACCCGCCTGCGGCCAAAATAATTTTTGCCTACGCGTTGGTCTAGCCTCGATCAATGCCCCAGGCCCTAAATCTGGCGGGCCAATCACAACACAGAGATGTGTTTTGAATGTCTGGATGCAAAGCGGGCGGGGTTTTGAGGGCGTGACAACAAAGCTGTGCGACGCTGGAGAAAGCACAACAGTAGCATCCACTGTGGCAGCAGCCGCTTTCAATGGAGCGCTCCATTGAAAGTTAAAAGTTCTCTTTTCTGTTGCTGCTGTTCAATAAAAGTACTTTTTAAGATAATTTGAGGCGAGAATATTATACTTTAAAGCGTCACGATATGGTCCATTTACCGATTTAATGCGTAATTAGAAAAACAATTTCTGAAGTTGAGAGGACCATGGCAACCAGCGGACCTCCGAGGCTAACAGCAGCCAGGGCTAACGGCAGCCTGTCTGCAACAGCCCTCTCTCGGTAGAGTCGTGTGTGAAGGACCGCTGGCTCTGATGGCCATTTTTGACTCAGCTTTGGAATCAGCTTTGGAAGGCTTAGACTTGGGATTTTGGTTGAAACGTGAGCAGGAAGAGGATCTACGCTCATCGGCGTCGCCAGACCCCATTTACTGGGGCACGTGCCCCAGTATAAATGAGCTGTGCCCCAGTATAAATGAGCTGTGCCCCAGCATAAATCTCATGAATATTTGCAACAGTGATACATTTTTTTAATGCATCAATTTAGATAATTCCAACGGAAGGAGACGTATATTTCTACTCAAGTGCGCAGCAAGTGTGTCGTTAACTCCAAATTGAGGATGTATTAGCGCCCCCACGTCAGCGCATGTCACTGCATGAACTGCAGGTAAATTAACGCGCTGCTCTCAACTGACTTGGATGGGACACTGTGCGGCCACGACGCATTTTTAGTTCTGGTAACGTTTCTTACCTGTCAATTTTATTATTTTCCCAGTGAAACCACATGATTTATAGGCTACTAACTGAAAATGACTGCATTGGTTTGTAGATGGATATCAGGAAATTCCTCACACGAAGCAGAGACAGGGAAGCAGTAAAACAAGATGAGAGAGAGGGAGGTAAGGTCCCGTTATGAATTAGTGATTTAAGCTAAGCAGTTACATTAGAGGCGTTATAAGCAATATGATAGATATTTACATAATTATAAGTTTAAGTTTTTTTATGTTTGCTGTAGAGAATGAGAATAGAGTAGAGTAGAAAAGGGAGGAGGAGGCGAGACTTACAGGCAAGAGACAGGTGAGAGACAGGAGAGACAGGACCATGAAGGTGATGAGGGAGCAACAACCAGCGTCCACAAACAAGAAGGGGACATTAGTGACTTAGGGGGAAACATGATGGCCCTAAACAAGTTGCCCCACTATCCCCAGGACAAATTTGGAGTAAAAAAAACGTTCATTTAATTCAAAATGGTTTAAAAACTGTTCCTGGTTAAAAAAGAAAGCTTTGTCATCAAGGATATGAAGTGTTTTCAACTTGCTTGATAACATTATATTCCCAACGTCTAGCGCAGGTCATCCAGATCTCCCTCACAATCCCAGTCTACAGCTGTAGTTGTGAAAGGTCATTCAGTGTGTTGAGAAGGATCCACACTTGGCTGAGGTGCACAATGGGACAAGACAGGCTCCATCATCCTGCTATTTTATCAGTTGAAAAGGAAGAACTTTCTAAGCTGAGCAACAGTCTAGTGATTGACCGCTTTGCAAAAATGAAAAATAGGAGGTACACTTTAATGCTCAAAAAAGAAAAAGAAAAACTTAGTTCAGGATGAGTTAACATTTCCCCTGAACTAAAACTCTGAAACCTAGGAATTAATGATTACTTCAGAATGTGTATAAGGAAACTTATTTGTCAAAGTTGGTGATGTCTTATTTTTTTATAGCTGCAATGGTGAAAATGTTCCTGTTTGTTAAAACAAATATGCTCTTACATTCATTAATATCTCAACTGGTAATTTTGGTAGGAATTTGTCAGGGTTGGGCAGTGTGCTATTTGTGTATGGAAGAAGGGGCATATGCAGTAGGGGGCCAGTGCCCCAGTAAAGCTTTGTACCTAGCAACGCCCCTGTCTACGCTCATTCATTTTGAGAAGGACGTATTCACGTTTTACTAACAGGCTGTTTGTTTATACTCTCCCAACAGCTTTGTGTCACGCTTACTACGTCACAGTAAGTTGCGCTCCTGGGTCAGAGTCTTGGCCAATGGGCACAGACAGCGGTTTGAAAAACAACGGGTTGTTTTCATCAACAATCTTCTGATGTCTCATTCATCGGGGGCAGACTAAATAACACCTTTAATCTCCCATTTAGTGTGGTTTACCAGGCTTTTAAACTACAGCTGGCACTACATTGATCTGGTTTGGATTAAAGCATATCCATTGGCTTAGTCAAAACCAGACCTAATTACTTATAATTCTAAAACACGAGACCACCTTACAGAGACTAACAAATAATACAGAAATAAACAATACAAGTATTAAAACATTAAGTAAGAAGACATGCTTGACAGCTAATAATATGTTTAAAGTGAATAAATCAGTTTAAAGAGATGTTTTAGCTTTGATTTGAATAAAAGAGACTATGCATTTTCAGTGACTGGAGGAAGTGAGCTCTGGAGCTGAGGAGCAGAGACACTGACAGCTTTGGTTCCCATGGTGATAAGATGACAAAGGCTACAATAATAGTTATAGTCTGGTTTTGTAACAAATTTGTAATAAATTTATAGATGTTGGAGATCGGCCTGTTTTTCAGTGTAGTCCTGTTTCTCTGACTGTGACTCTCTTCATCCTCTGACATGGGAGCTGGCTCGGAGCTCGTCTGCCTGGCTGTATGTTTTCTGGACGGGGCCGCCTTTTACAGCTGCTTTTTGTGTCTCTGCTTCTGTCTCCTTGAACCCCAGTCGGCCTCAGCAGATGGCCGCTCACACTGAGCCTGGTTCTGCTGGAGATTTCTTCTTGTTAAAAGGGAGTTTTTCCCCTCCACCTTTGCTACAAGCATGCTTGGAATGAGGGATTGCCTTTGAGTCAATGAGTCGATGCAATCAACTGGTTTTCTTTAGATAGAAAACTTTGAATCAATTTGACTGGATGATTTGGTGAACTGTAAAATGCCTTGAAATGACGTGTTGTGAATTGGTGCTTTATAAATAAACTGAATTGAATTATTGAATAAGATGAGAGGCAGACGAAGATATGAGAGAAGATCTATTCGTTTCCATTTGGAACCTATGAAGATGTTGAAGGTTAGGTGTTCTTATGCTGAACTTGGAAAAAGTTGGAGTTTATGAAAGTTTAAAGTTTATGTTAAGGATTAAAAATTTTAGAGGAAAATCATGATCTAATGTCCTTAAGACAATCTGAAAAGGAGTTAGATGGTAAGGAGGAATCGGGGTTGGATAAACTTGGAACTTGGTGTCTGCTTAACAAGAAAAATTGATGATGTATTTGTGGAATATGTGGCCAACCGGGAGCATGTAAAGAAGGAAAAAAAAGGGGACCAAATAACCCTGAGGCACACCAGTAGAGATGTAATCTATTCAGAAGATATTATGAGAAATGGTATTAGAAACCAAATCTAATACCACATTAAGAATAAAGTCTAATTGGTTTCACAGAGAAGATTTGTGTAAAAGGTGGTGGAGACTTTCTTCACAGATTTCCATCTAAAACTGCAGAAAAAGGTGGTTTTAAATAAAATTTTACTTTGTGTTGGTTTATCACATACAATCCCCGGAAAATACAACAGAGTTAATGCTTTTTAAAAGATATCTAAGTAGAGGCATGAATTCTTTTATAAGATACTTTAATACCACACATGCTGCCCTATTTCAGAATTAATGGAAAAATTAGCCATCTAATTCCCCTGAGTCTTTGGGTTTCTTTGAATGCTTTTCTTGCTCTGATGGAAAAAAAGGAAAAACTTTCAGAGTAACATCCAGTTGCTCCTTTTTCTTTCAGACCGTCAGCCAAGTTCCACTTAAAGCCCCTTTTTTTTCTGTGAAATTCACCACCGACAATAATCACCAAACATCGAACCATATTATATCTCTGTTTGAGCCAAACAGTTGGAGCATAGCATTGAAAGTGAAAAAAAGGAGTGAACTAAAGAAGAAACATTAATGCAGGGGAAGCCAAGACAAGATGCCAAACTGGCTGCTGCTTTATTTATGAACCTCCTGGAGGTGGAGAGCTCTGAGACTCACACAGCCAGCCTTTATGAATAAATAAAAAGGTGCACTTACTGAAATAAAAGCCCCTCTCTCCACAGACAAACTGCAGCGTGTCGACCAGCTCCGCCCCGCATAGGGTCTCCGGGCCCGCCCCTGTTGCTGTAGGAGTCAGGGTGAGGATGCACAGCAGTAGTGAGAGGGTGTGGCTACAGGAGATACAGCACATCGCACCCTGCACACAGAGAGGAAGAGCTTAACTGTGTTCACTGATGGGGAAGGAGTTACTGATGGTCAGCGGATATATTAGCATTGTGGACTTGGGGACAAATCCAGACGTTCAATTTCCATGGGTGGGGCGCATCTAGAAAGTTTTCAGGTGTTGTGGCTGGATAGGAAGTGCAGTTTTATGCAAGCAGAAATCCAAAATTTCAGGTGTTTTATTGAGCTGCTGTCATATATATGCAGGGCCGGTTCTAGCCCTTTGGTTGCCCTAGGCGAGATTTATTGGTATTTATCGATACCGCTATCGATACTTTTCTGTTATTTGGTGGAAAGACGATGCAACAAAATTTTTTTAACAGAACTGGTATTGCTTCTATTGCTTAACAAGTGAGCATAACAAAAACGTTTCTAGCCTTCAATAAACATGGCTAATGTAATAGGCCACTTCGAAATGACATAAAACTAACTAGAATATATTTTCACAATTGTTGGTTAATGTATTGTCTACTGTCACTTTTCATCATGTTTTTAGTGATTAGGAAAATATTTAACAAATAAATAATTGTATTTTAAATTAAATGTAATTTTTAATAAATGTTGGCATCAGTAGTTTCATTATATATTCTAAAATAGTTAGAGCAATATACAACTGTATTACTCATGTTTCTCGCCAAAAACAAAATTTCCTGTTTTCTTTACGTTACACTTGAACGCATCATGATAACCTAATTGTCGTTTTACTGAGCCAATCTGAACACATCATCACGCAGCACGTCTGAAACTTTATTTACTTTTCAAGCTAACTAGCTTGTATGCTACCGATTACAACACGGATGTCACAATTACTATTTTTAACTGACCGGACAAGCTACAAAGTCTGTGTGCGCTTACCAGTGGTACTCTGAGTGGATGATTAAGATGGGCCCGACTGCGGCGGCAGGAGGAGGAGGAAAAGTTAAGTGCCAGACTTCACTTGTTTTACTTTTAATATCTGTTTGCTTACAATTTCATTCCAAAATATTGGTGTACATGCTGCAGTGATTGACGTCACGACTTCCGGGTTGGAGGGCGCTTGAAAAGTGATCAGAATTTTTTCCGATTTTCTCTTAAATGTGAAAAAATAAATAAAAAAACGGTGGTATATTTCTTTGTTCATATTTTGCTATTTATATACACGTAAGGTTAAGTCAAACTGACGGACGCTTCATAACCGGTTTAATTCGCTTTTTTTTCTAATTCTATGATTAATGGGAAGTAAGCCTAAGGGCGACGCTAGAGGGCGCCCCCAACACATTTGTCGCCCTAGGCAATTGCCTAGCTCACCTATAGCAATCGCCGGCCCTGTATATATGGAAGCTGCAAAAGAAGCTGGCAGCAAGTTAATGTCAATAAATCTAAATATCACAGAGATATCTTCAAGCATCTATTGTTATGTTGTTCATGGTTAACAGTTAATAAAAAAATATATTCTCTTGTTTGTTTGGTTGTATTTTTTCTGAGAAATTAGTTTCTTATGCAATAATGCGTTTATGCCTGACGCAATCATGGGGAAGACATTGACAATTATCCAGCATTCTGCCATTAAGAATTAGTGTTGCACTGATTTTTTGGCCCCGATACCGATACCTGATACCTGGCTGTGCAGTATTGGCTGATACCAATACCATACTGATACTATCTGTTTGAAATTGATGTGTGTGTGTATATATGAAGAACTGCATTCTACTTGGATGTAAAATAATTGCCATCATGGTTTTGTCAAGCAGGAAAAAGACTAATACAAAGTGAATACAGTAGAACTTTTTATTGCCTACCTGGAATGGTTGACAATAGTACTTTTGGCTCTCAAAATGGTATCGGTGCCCTACTTGTTGGTACTCGCCGATACCTATACCACCATTTTAGTGCTGGATCGGGGCCCAGGCCGATAATGGTATCGTATCGGTGCAACACTACTATCAATATCAACAACATTTAACCATTACTGTTAAAAAGAGGATCACAGAGTTATTGTTGTTGTTGCCAAGCATTTTAATGGAAAGTTAAGTGGAAGGAAAAAATATAGGAGGAAATGGTGCACAAGCAACCCAGTCAACCAAAGCCTACTTTAAGGTTTCGTGCAGATAACCAGTTAAATTAGTGGTTTTGACGACCATTACAAAGGCTATCAGGATATGGGCCGCAACTGTTGCATTGATTGTGCCGAGTCAATCCTTAACCAGAGTAAACAGCACCATGCCACCCTGGCTATGACTGTTGATCCATGATCCAAAGTCCGTTTATTGAGATGAAAATATATTTTCATTTTATTTTGAAATCAAGGTCTCATTGCATGTAATAACTTATGGACATAGGTTCAATATATTATCATCAAAGAGTAAATCAATGTCCAAAATTTAATTTAAACAGTAAACTAAAAAGAAAAAAAAAAGAAGCCAAGTTGTGGGATACATCTTTCTTCTTCCACAATTTTCCAAAATCTGCAAAGCCATCCTCCTTAGCAAAGAGTTTCTTCTGCAGGGTAAAACTTTCAGTGAATGTTTAAACCATAACAGCTCTGTATTAGAATGTCAATACTGTAGTTTTTATGCTACATCTTAACTCAACAGGGAACTGGATTGATGTTACAATAAGCACAGAAGGAGTTTCATTTTAATTGAAATTTCTCATTTAAATTAAGTTTTAATAAGTTGATTTATTCAAATGCATTAGTTAAACTAGGCTCTTACAGATTTATGGGGATGGGTATTGCCCCCCATCAGCCCCTTTTCTTAGTAGCACCACTGGCAATGAGTCGTGGTGCTGCAGGAGGGCTGTGCAGGTCCAAATTAAAAACACACCTTCCCCCCGTTTATCACCCTATACCTCAGCCAACATACAGCATTGAGTTAGCAGCAATCCACATTAATCAGGAACATTCATTCATCATATATATCATTAACAAGCAGGCCACCGTCTGCCTTTGCCAAAGCTGTCAGCGCGTTATTACGCACGAAAAGCGCTTCGAAATTCAGAAATAAAGGATGCAGAAAGGAGCTGCCAGGGGATCTTTCCGATCCAAAATCTTTAATGGAAAAGAGTTATCCCGCCAAAGGCAGCGGAGAGAGCGGACTGGGCCAAAATGCGCATAATAAAAACGAATAAAATCATCCACATCAGAACCGCACAGCCCTAAACGCCCTGGAGCGCCTCAGATTAAGCTTTCCCTAGGTTTTCTTGTGGAATATTGAAGCTTTAATAATGCAAACTCAGCAGTAATTAAGGTAAAAGTTTTCAGGCATTCTGGAGAAAAACAGCGCATTACGCATGGAGGTGCAGAGGGTGTCAAAATCTCAAAAATAATGCAACAATAATCAATTAATGGCAAAATTGACTTATTTCGAGTGATATTATTCTGCAGGAAACAATCAAAAATGCATGCAAACTTAATTAAAACTCTAATAAACAGATCCAGGTTTTGCAAGCGTTTGAAAAGCTGGTCAGTATAATCATCCAGTTTAAAGTCGGAAGGATGCTGAGTGCAAGCAGGGAGCAAGGTGACAATGTAAAATCGGCCAAGTTACCTTGAGGACATCACATAAATGCCACTGAGAGGAAGCAGCACTAGACATCACCGCGGATCTCCGCAAAAAGACAAAGAAGCCCGGCGAAAATGAGCAACTTGTTTGAAGTCATTAAAAAAAAGAAATCGGGGCAAGAAAGAGGACGAGATGCGGGGCAATGTCACATCTCAATATTCCCACTTTGTTCCATTGCGCAGGCTCGTTTTGGAGAAGTGAGATTTAGCGAACAGGAGACGGATTTAGAGAGAAAATCCCTCACATTTATCTATATTACACAGACATTTTCAACAGGAAACAGCTGGGGCAGCGTTTGCCTCCTCCTCGTTCTAAGTTATTCATTAAGGATTTTGGGCACATGGTCAAATAACGTCATTTCTCCCCTCTTTTTTTTTATTCTTTCTGCGAACGGGATGAGAGTCTTGATATTTCTCAGACAGCAGCAGCAGTTCACAGAACACCAGGTTCCTTCTTATCCCATGAGAGCTGAGGGGTGTGAGGGCAAAGACAAACCAGAGCGGATAGTTTCGCTTTTATTGGTTGTGCGTAATTTGGTGCCATGAAACTCAGCAGCAAAAAAGTAAAGCCTGAATCCTTATGACTTTGTGCCTCAATACATTTTCAGCTTATCTTAACCCAGTGATTCATACATATGTTTTCTTTATTTTAATTAATACACACACTGAGGAATCATTATGAAAACTCTAGCTGGAGACCAAATTTTTAATTGTTCTTTTTGGCGCCATCCTTGAAGCTCAGTCAGTCTGCAAACTCCTTGCTGAAGAGAAATACTCCCACAGCAAGATGCTGCCACACCACAAATTAGTTCAATGAATAAAAAATAACAATTATACATACTTTATATGACACCGCTCTACTTTCAACATCTCCACTTTGAAGTTCTTGAATGCATGCCCCCTTTTGGAGTCATTCTCTCCTTCAGATCTGCAGCTCAGAACCACCATGTGAACCGAGCAGCATCTCTGTTTGCCTCCCAGGTGGATTGCATCATTGACAGGAGCTGTCTGTTCTCACATTGAATACAATGGGGGGGATGCTCCTCCAATCTGAAGGACAAAGCTGCCTTTCCAGGTGACTGCTAGCATCCAGTCAGCGATGTGATAAAGACTAAAATGGTCGATCTAGATTTCACTGTTTCTGCAGTCTGGCTGCCTGCTGGAAATGATGAGCTTGCTCACTGTACAGATATTTGCTGATGAAGAGGAGCAGGAAGGGCGTCTGGGGGAGAGCTGACCTTACCTTCCCCCCCTGATTCAGTAATGCCTAGTTATCTGAACTGTGTCGATTCCAAGTCCTCCCCCATCTTCTTTTGATTGCAGGACTTTTGAACCCACTCACCACAACCTTCAGCCGCCCCACACCCCCCACAGCTTTCTGTTTGGAAACCTCTGCCTCGGTGAACTCAATGACCAAAGAAAGGCCTAATTTTGCTCCCTTTTAATGGCTGGAAGGAGACGCTACTGACTAGAGGGGTTGCATGTTTCCAAGACAATCAACAGTTAATGATTCAACAACAGTTAAATGTATTTAATTTACTTATTTTTTACTAAAAAAATCGAAAATTTGACTTTTCCTTACCATATACAGTTTTACGATCATTCAATTTATTATTGACTTTATGCAAAGTGTTCCTCTGTTATCTCCCTTATTATTAAGGTCTCGGTTGACACGCCTTGGCCAGTTTGGTACCATAACAAAAAATAGACATATAAGACAAATGACCATGTATCACCACCTAAAAGCAATTGAGTGAGGGTTAGCTCACCAGTTAACTCACCCTTCATGTCTTTGCACTGTGGGACCTTCCATGAATCGTTTTGGCCCAGGAAGGGTCGTAATGTCCAGGAGGAAAACCCACACATCTTATTCTCCAGAAGCAGGATGGTAGCAAGAAGTTTAGAGTCTCCTTGTCCTGTGAAAACCTGTAAAGAAAGATTCCCTCCAGCATCTTGGCCAGATGTGAACGTCGTCCATTGACAGGTCTTGGTGCAAAGGAGCAACAGAAAAAATGTCTACTGAAAAGCATCTAATAATGTCTACAAGTATAAAAAAAAAAAAAGCAGTTGGGGTCAGTAGACACAAATGCTAAAAGCAACCTTAACCGACTCCCCTTATTGTGAAGGGGAATTGCTTTTATATCCAGCTCCCTATAGAGGATTGGGTCTCTCACCTTGTGAGCCTGTATCAAAGGGTTTCGATGTAGATGAATTAGCAAAAACAAGAGTTTTAGTTTCACGATGGATCTCTTCAGACCAGAACGCCTCCATCCCTGAAGGGCATCACCATTTTTCAGTCGTAAACAAGACACCAAGAGGCTTGAACCCCTCTGGCTTAGGCAGATGCTCATCCCCTATCCACTGACAGTAGTTTTTCTGGTCGTGAAACATAGTCTCAAAGTTCAGGGAAGGACAAGCAATCTCAAAAGTGTAAGGAGTGAGATACGAAGCCAAAAGGCAAGACTGCTAAGCACCACGATTCTTAGCAAGGTCTCTCATTCATGCCTGGGATTTTCTTTTCATTCTTATCTAATTTGTTGTTCAAGATAAGTGGCTTAATGATGATTTTCCTGCAAATAATTTGGCACTGTATTGAAGCTGCATAAAAAAATCAAAACCAAAGACTCTGAGGAAGTACAGTAACCAAACTGTTCATTCTAAAAAAGATTCCTGGAGAATAAATGAGGAATCTGTCCTGTCCAGCGTTGTTTTAAGAGTTAACTTGCACAGAGTGAAATTCTTGGTTTCAAACTGAGTTATATCACCTCATTTGGAACAGCGTTTACATGTTAACACAAGGTGATCCAAAAAGACTGGATTTTTTTTTTCCTTCTCCAGCGTTAACAGCATCCCTTTGCATCTCTGCTGCCAAACAAATGTCCGAGTCAGCGGCAAACACACACAGAAACACTCACACCGGACGCAGAGAGCAGTCCTGAATGTAAATGAAAGGATGAAAGAGCCGAGGCTGAAAACTGAGATAAAGCTTTTGCGAAATTTCTGTGAACTGAAGACGGTGTAAGGGGGGGGGGGGGGGGGGGGGGGGGGTTCAGGGCTGGTGCCCAAAACGGGAAGGGCTGGCGCACACAAACAGGTTCATTTAAGGACGCTGGCTTGATTAGGGGAGCAACTCTGCTCTTTTCTGTTGAGAATTTAAAGTTTTTTTTCCTTCTCTTTTGTAGTTTTTCCTCTTTTTTCATTACACTACAACACTTGCAAGAAAAAATGCCAAAACAATGAATAAGAGGTGTCTACTGTGTGAGCTTAAATGGATCATTTATGGTGTTTATACCCTCTTAGAAAGAGTGGGTGAGTCTCTCTGTGGTAATGTTCGCCCACTTTGTTATCAACCCCCCCCCTTGTGTTCTGTGCATGTTTCATATGGAAGAAATAAAGGTGCGTCATGGAGCAAATGCACAGAATGATGTGCTTGTTTTGATACGCTGTCTTTCCACTCCAACATTTAGGGGGTCACAGGATTCTGGCATAAAAAGGAAGGAAAATCTGTGGTGCCTGCTGATGATCAAATCCCACATTTTCAGAAACTGTTAACCGTTTGAGGACTTAGCAGCGGTGATTAAAGTGAGTTATATCAGATGAAAGTCAGTTGGTAGCTGAGTTTTTAAATTAACCTGAAGGAGACATGCGTTACAACAAGTGGTTTAACTAGAGAGTAGAAAAGTGCTGAATGTTAAAAAAAAAAAAAAAAAAAAATGTTTCTCCTTCCAGGAAACCACCAATGGAAGGTGCCCAGGAGACAACCTAATCAGAGGCAGATGCTCGAACCACCTTGGCTGCATCCATTTCGATGCAGAGGAGCAGCGGCTCTTCTCCAAGCTCCTCACCCTGCCTTTAAAGCTGAGCCCAACCAGCCTGCAGAGAGAGCTATTTGTAGTCGCTTGTATTTGGGATCTCAATCTTTCAGTCATAATCCCTTTCTCATAGCAGTTTGTGTGGGTTGGAAAGTAGACAGACCAGTTTACGTCAAGAGCTTTGCTTTTTGGCTCAACTCTTTCCTCAACCTGACAGACATGAGCAGTTCCTGCATTACTGCAGCCAAGGCCCAGTTCGTCTATCCATCTCCTGCTCCATCCTAACATCATTTATGAACAAAAAACCAAGTTAGTTCAACTCCTCTGCAGAAGGCATTGACTGAGTCCCTGGAAACAGGTCTTACTTTAGTTATATATGGACAGAGAAGCTCTTAATAGCAAACTCCACAAGACTCCTCAAGATACCTAGTCATGATTTTTTTTTTTATCTAAATGCATGTAGAAGGTGGGTGGAATACCCAAAAACTGTACTCAAGTAAGAGTAGCACTGCTCATCATAATTATACTGAAGCAAAAGTAAAAAAATACTCAAGTAACAAATGTATTTGGTAGGAAGGCTACTTAGGCACTGAGTTACTGATCTACCAACTACTCATTCAATTTAATTCAATTCAGTTTATCTATATAGCACCAATTCACAACACGTCATCTCAATGCACTTTACAGTTCACCAGATCATACAGTCAAACTGATTCAAAGTTTTCTATCTAAGGAAAACCAGTTGATTGCATCGACTCATTGACTCAAATGCAATCCCTCACACCAAGCATGCTTGTAGCGACAGTGGAGAGGAAAAACTCCCTTTTAACAGGAAGAAACCTCCAGCAGAACCAGGCTCAGTGTGAGCGGCCATCTGCCGAGGCCGACTGGGGTTCAAGGAGACAGAAGCAGAGATACAAACGGCAACTGTAAAAGGCGGCTCTGTGCAGGAAACACAGCCAACTCCCATGTTAGAGGATAAAGAGAGCACATCCAGTTAGTCACAGTCAGAGAAACAGGACTACACTGAAAAAAAGGGCTGATCTCCAACATCTATAAACAAAGGTGTTGATGGCAGCAGCAAAGCTGATATTTCTCTCCAGGATGGTGTCATGAAGTATCACTTACAGTGATAACAACTGATTTAATATTTAAACTGTGATGTACAGTAAGGCAACAAAATGATTTAAGTTGTATACAAATTCTACTTACACAATAATTTTAGGTGGTAGAAACATTTTCAAACATACTCAATGTATAATTGTTATAAAATTGTTCTGCATACAGGTTAGATTAGGGAGAGTCGCTTTCTGTAAGCAGATACAGCTAAATTTATTGTATTTTTACTTGACCTCCAAAAGACACAGTAGGCTGGGCTGCACAGTGGAGCAGCGGGTAGCGCTGCTGCCTTGCAGGAAGAAGGTTCCGGGTTCTATTCCCAGAACCGTTTGCATGTTCTCCCCATGCATGCGTGGGTTCTCTCACGGTGCACCTGTGCAAAAACACGACTATTAGGTTAATTGGCTTCTCTAAATTCTTCTTAGGTGTGATTGTTTGCATGAAGTGTTGTTTACCTTTGTGCGTTTCTGTGTTGGTCTGTGATAGACTGCTGAACTGTCCA